CACACACACACACACTCGTGAGCCAAGCCACACATACCAGACATACGCAAATGTACACAGGCATGACACAAGTCTACACACACACACACACACACTCGTGAGCCAAGCCACACATACCAGACATACGCAAATGTACACAGGCATGACACAAGTCTACACACACACACACACACACACACGTGAGCCAAGCCACACATACCAGACATACGCAAATGTACACAGGCATGACACAAGTCTTCACATACACACGCACGCACCACGTGGCCTCATGCTCACCGACAAATGCACATTTTCCTTCCCAGAATCCCTTTTGGTGACACTGCAGTTCCGCCCCTGCCCTCCTCGCCCCCGACAGCAGGGCTGCAGGCAGGTTTGGAGACTCCAGGAAGCGAGAGGTCCACAGGAGGAACATGTCTGTGGATACAAGCAGGGGAACTAGGATGGTGGCCCTCCTGGGGACAGAAGCAGGCCTCTCAGAAACAGGCGAGGCAGGCTTCCGTGTCCTGGGTGAATGCACATGCACGTGTACGCACGCGTGCATTCTCCCAGTCAGGCTCTCAGCCTGTCATTTACATACATACCGAGACAGGTAGCTCGAAGCTTGTATGGGCACAAACACATACATACAGAATACTCACCAGGGAACAGAAACTTGCCTCATCCCAGCTCACACACAGGGAGGCGTGAAGCTTAGGCCAGAGGCTTTACACACACACACATTTGCTCTCCCACCCGCTTCAGAATGGAGAGGAGGGGGTTAGGAGAGGCCCCACTAGGAAGACACCCCCCCCCAAGCCCCGCCAGGGAGGCCATCGAGGGAGGCTGGCTGCAGGTTGAGGTTAATCAATATGTAATATTTTCTATGGTCTCCCGAATGATACTGTACGGTGTTACTGTATATAATGCAATATTGATTATATCATATCATATAATCACCTATAAACTGATATATATAACAGTCCCAGAGGAGCACCCTGAGGCCTTCAGCATGGGCTGGCCCAAGGCCCAGGCCTTCCCCCTGGACTTGGAGCGAGAGAAGCCAAGCTGGGGCTAAGTGGCGGCGGTGGGGGGGACCCAGCTTTGTGTCGGGGGGACTCAGCTGAATGAGCTCTGAAAATACCAACAGGCCTTATGCCAGAAGGTAGAAAAGACAGAGTCATGAGAAGCCGGGTGGGGCATGGCCTCGGACAGCAGGACCCCTGGAGAGGGCACTAGGGTGGCACAGCAGGGACTCTTCTTTGTTGTGGAGACCAATGGAGGACCCAGGTGGCCAGGGGCAGAGGCAGAGAGGGCAGCCAGGGCCTAGGGAGTGGCCACAAGGGCCCTGTCTAGAGTCCCTGCCCTGGCTCCCAGGGCACCTGCTCTCCTGGGCTCTGCCTGCACCCGCCCCCTCCCTGCTCCCCCTGTGAAGTGCCTGTGCCTTGCATCCAGAGCCCCTCCTTCCCCAGTGGGGAAGTTAATTACTTCACCCAGGCTCCCTGCTACACTCAGCCTCGGAGATTTGATGATTTTCAACCTTTGGAATCAGTGGAACTGAAATTCATCGTGGAGCCGAGTTCCATTCTCCACAGGCTCAGCGATGCTGGTCTAGTGACCCAGCTTCTTCCCCAGAGAACCCAGACTGGGGGCAAGAGGGGGTGTCCAGGAGAGACATCTCCTAGGAAATAGCCTCTGGGAGGCCTCTGCCCATGCTTCCCTGACCCCACACTGTGACAGCTTCCCTCCCCTTCGCTTCCTCCGCCAGGTCTCTGAGATATGGCCAGTCCCCCATCCTAGGGCTAGGAGCAAGGGTTCTGAGCCAGGGTGCCAAGCCCTAGGGGCAGAGAGCCAGGTACCACCCCTTTACCCACTGTGCTACCTCTGAGCCCCTGCTGGCTTGGCACTGATACTCCAGGTGTCTGTGTGTCCTCCAGATGTATCCGAGGGCTCCGTCCCCAACGGAGACACCCAGAGTGGCGTGGACAGTTTGCGGAAGCACTTGCGAGCCGACACCTTTACCCAGCAACAGCTGGAAGCTTTGGATCGGGTCTTTGAGCGTCCTTCCTATCCCGATGTCTTCCAGGCATCGGAGCACATCAAATCCGAACAGGTGAGGAGCCAGGCCTCACCCCTGGGCGCCACCAGCAGGGTGTGGGTTTCACACGGGATGTCGGGAGTGGGTGTGAACATCCTCTCGCAAGGGCATCATGATAGAGTTAAGAACTAGTAAGGCATGTAGGAAGTAGAAGGGAGCCCTGGTGGCATCCTGGTTACGTGCTGGGCTGCTCACCACAAGGTCAGCCGTTCGAAACCAGCAGCTGCCCCGTGGGAGAAAGATGGGGCTTTCTCACCCACAGGTGTAGTTCTACTCTGCCCGTCAGGGTCTCGGTGAGTTGGCATGGACTCGGTGGCAGTGGGGTTGTAGGAATTAGAAGTGCTGGGGTCTCTCTTTATGGATGTGTGTGTCTGTTTCTCCAGCCGTAGAAGGTAGGGATAGAACACAGTGGTCTATCAAGTCCCTTCTGGCTCGACGACTCCAGGTTGCTGACCTCAGGGACACAGGGACCCTCGCCCCCACCTTGCCACCTTGCTGGGTCTCTTTACCTCCACCCCCAGCCCCCAGGGTCGGTCCTACAGCAAGTCCATGCCCCTCTTCTGGCTCAGGGTCAGGGCACCCCTGTACCTGCTTCCTGCTCCCCATCTAACCATCCAACTCGTCCACAGGCTGGCTGGCTGCCACCCATGCAGACCCCCACCCCCCACTTCCTGTAGATGTAGAACACGCAGCACGTCATACAACATACAGAAACATGGCTCCCCATGGACTCCTCACACAGACATGTCCACACACTTACATCCCACACACTGACACACACACACACACACACACACACACACACACACACACACACGCAGTCCTCCCATCGGAGCCCCCTCCATCACATGGAAATGTCCCCAGACCACCAGCCCCACAGACATCCTGGCATGCCCCACCAACACCCGTCGGGAGAGCACCTGAATCTTAAGGCTACCCGCTCATTTCTCTCACCTGGCCAGCCTCGGTGGGGCCCACATCCACCACCTAGTTTTGTACGCTGTGCTCGCCTGCGCGTGCACACACACACACACACTCCCACGCACGCGCTCATTCACACGGGCGTCCACCAGCAGCTCCCAGGCTGCGCAAGCACAGCTCCTGCTCTCAGACGCACCGGCTCCCAGCCACTCGCCTGCCTCCCCGCCCGCCCTTTTATCCCATAAGCTGTTTGTCTTCATAAAACAAAAATCAAAAGTCTTTTTAAGGTGCCCTGAGCCATAAACCAACAAAGGAGGAGCTGGCCAAGGCGGGCGACTCGGTGCACCCTCCCCGAGTCCCCGGCTGTATTACAATGAATAACCTTTATTTACTTTCATTAGACTATTAAACACCAGCACAGTCATTTTTCCCCCTGAAACTCGGAGCAGGGCCCATAAAGCAAATCCGAAGCCTAATTGAGTTCATTTTAATTTCTCTCCGATCACAGCGAATTACTCTGGTGATAAATCAGGGGGCAGCTTCACCCCCAGTAGAAGGCCTAATTTGCAGCTAATTACAAAACTGATTTCTACAGGAAGATCAATACGAGAAGGAATTGGAAATGACGAGGCAATCCCGGTCCAGCCGGGGAAAGGAGGGGGCCCTCTGGGGCGGGGAGGGGGGCCCCAGGAAGCGGAAGGGGAAAAAAACCGACCCGAAAGAGCAGAAAATCAGTTTTAATTTAACGTAATATTAATCAGAGCAACTTTTCCTGCTTTGTGCAGGCTCCCGCTCAGCCCGACTCCGGGGTCTGGCTCGGCGGTGGCAGCAATAAAGAGGCAATTACCCAAGTGTTTCGGGCAGGACACCCTTTCAGAGTCAATGACTGGCCCCCTCCCACCCTTCTGTTAGCCATGTGGACTCTCCCCCTCCCCAATTTCATACCCCAGTGCACAGGCAGAGAGCGAGGGGCCCGTGGGGCTGGCTTTGTTTGTTTTTGAAAGAGGGGCACCCGTACCTGATTCAGCCGGGCAGCAGTGCCAGGCTGGCGGCCCCGCTAGGCCTTTCCCCCACCCTTGCCTCTGCCTCACGGCACAGTTGGTGCCTGTGGCCCAGGCTCCCCACCCCTTAGCTCTCTGCAGGGAGTCCCCACCCCGTCCCCTGCCCTTGGGGCCCGCTTAGGCAAGAGGTGTTCCAGAAACTTAAAGGGCGTTGAGGTCAGGCTGCACCTCTAGCTTCACAGCATCAGGTCTGCCCCACCCGCCATCATATGGGCCCGCCCCCTGGCTCTCCCTTCCCTCTGCCAGGCTGGCTCCTTCCTCCCCATCTGGGAGGGCGCTGGTCCTCCTCCCCATCTGCACACGCAGCCCTTTCTCCATGGGCACATCAATAGAGAGCTGTCGCTTTTCTCTCTGCTCCCAGGGGAACGAGTACTCCCTCCCAGCCCTGACCCCTGGCCTTGATGAAGTCAAGTCGAGTCTATCTGCATCCGCCAACCCGGAGCTGGGCAGTAACGTGTCAGGCACGCAGACATACCCTGTCGTGACCGGTAAGGGGCTTCCAGGAGGGGGTGGGCGCTGCTTTCAGGGGGCGTGCCGCAGGGTCCTGGTGTGACCAGTCCTCTCCATGTGACATCTGTGGAGAGCAAGCTTCCCCAGACCAGGGTGCTTCCAGAACAGATGTGTGCTGGTGCGGGGAGAAAAGATTTGTGGGGAGGGCGCCTGTGGACTCCAGCTTGGAAAGGTGTTGTGGGACCAGGGTGTGTGTGTGTGTGCTGTGGTTGGTGTCCTCAGACCACCCTCTCGCCGCCCCCTTTGTCTTTTCCTCTCCTCCACCTAGAGGCCTGGGATGGTGGGCCTCTGGCTAGAACTCCCGCAGGAGAAAGCAGGGAGCACAGAAGGCAGGCTGGCAAGAGGGGAAAGGGGTTCCTGGCATCCCACTCACAGGGAGCTCCCCAAGGCTTCTGTGGGACCCACCTTCCTCTCGGTCAGACCAGCGTGGGTGGCTGTGTGGTTTGGAAGGGCCTGGCCCCAGTTCGGCAGAGGTGTGGGGAACCATCATTACTGGAAGCCTTGCGCTTCCCAGAGAAATCACTGTGCCCCAGGCTTGCTCTCCAGGCCAGGCAGGCTCTGGCTTGACCCCAGTCCATTGCTGGGTGGTCAAGACCCCCGAGGGCTTAGGCATGCACGTCAGAGGCAGCTCCAGTGGTAGGGGGCTGAGGAGTGGCTCAGGGAAGGCCCGGCTGAGGAAGCCTAGGCCGAGGGGTGCAGGCTGCGGAAGGCCCCTGGCATTGCGGAAGCGTTTCCGGGCCAGGCAAAGTTGCCCAAGTGGGAGAGACACACATGGAGGTGTTCTTAAAATTCACCTAATTATTCTGGAGACACGAAAGCCAATGTGCCGTTTGTTCCTTGGGAGACAGGATGATTGAGAAGGGTCTCGGAGGGGATTGGGAGACACTGAGGCGTTACCTGCTGAGTGAGGAGCGTGGAGGCGGCCTGGGGACCTAGCAGCGGGGCTGCAGGCAGCTAGCATCACCGTGGCGAGATGGGAAGTGGGGACAGCCCTCATGGAAGGGCAGGGACCTAGTTATGATGTGGGGCTGACCTAAGGGTGTTGAAGCCCGAGTTCGGCAGTGAGAAGACACCTAATCCCCACCAGGGGGCTTTGGAGAGCCCTGCTGTTAGCTTGGAGAGCATATACACGATAGTTGCTTTCAGTGTAGAGGGTGTTGAGCTTTGGGACTAGGTAGTCATCGTTTGAGTTCTGCAAAAGTGTTGGAGAGCTGGGGTGAGCTTTTCAGTGACAACCTGGGCTGGGTTCTTTGCGTCAAGATAAGGCTGATTATCAAACGACCCACCCAGGGCACTCTGGGTATTCTGGCCCAAGGCAGAGAGACGGCCCAGGCCAAGCCACGCACCCTCTGACCGGCTTTGAGGTACAGTGGTCACTTCTCAAAGTCGGTCCGCCTCAGTCAACTGGCCAGCGAGAACCGGGCCGTGCTTCTCTGGACTGTGGCCAAGACCTCCATCCTGGGGGTGGGGGTGGGGGTGGGGGGCTATGGCTCTGCAGGGTAGGGCTCCTGCTGCAGGGGAGACACTGGGCTGGTGCAAGGAAGCACCCCACCTCGAGTAACCCCCACCACCACACACACACCGCAGCAGCTCCCCCCCTCCCCCCCATGGCCCTGGAACTGTCCCAGCTCAGCCTGGGAACATCTCCGGCTGATCCATCTGGATCCAAGTGTGAGAAAAGTTCATTTCAGACCCAGCTTGACATTCCCAGGTGGCAAGTTAGCACTAACATCTCAATCTGTATGCGACATTTCAATCAAGCAAAGAGTAACAAAAGCAGCACCATTAACATTCAGAGCTGTTCACCAGTGGTAATGATGGGGAAACTCGTTCCGAAACTGGAAATTACCAAAAAGCAAGACGTGGGGGGAGGGGGGAAGGGAGAGGGGCCAGGGAAGGGTTTGCCTACACTTAGGCCAAGATCCAGTGTTGGATGAACGGGGCCATCACCCGAGAAAGGCCTGCAGAGTATGCTCATTCTTAAAATGCTTTTGCTGGCAATTAAACGGCGGCAGTTATTGATCTGTGTTGATTTTATGTCCTCCTAATTTGCATAATCTATTAAAGATGAATGATTCATGACGCGTTTCTTATGGGGACAGACAGAATTTGCCGAGGTACTGTCAAGGTGAGCAGCGGGGCAATGGCCAAGCCTTTGCGGGGCCACTTCAGGAATGGGGCCACCACGCTGGCTTTAGCACCCGTGATGCCAGGGGAGCAGTCCCAGGAGGTGAACTTTTGGAGAGTCTTTCTAGAAAGAGGTTGGCACGGGGGAGACTTGGCTCCACACGGGGCATAGAAGACGCTCTTGGTATATTTTCAGGAATTCTGCTCAAAGATTCTTTCTGATTGATTTCCTTGGCGGATTGTCAGGGCTTTAGTGGAGGAAGAAAACGGGAGGCCCTTTCAGGTGGGTGATGGTGCCGGGTGTGCGCTAAGGGCGAGGGAGTCATTGGGGTCATCCCTGGGCCCACAGCCTGGTTTGGGGGTCCTAAGGTGCTCAGGGTCCTTCTCCATGCCCCAAGTCTCAGGCCCTGCATCCCACCTTCCCCAGAGCAGGCAACAGAAGGCTTTGACTTTGACCCTGAGGGCCTCAGCCCAGGAAGTGGCCCACTTCCACCTGAAGAGCTAGACCTTATTGATATTGATATTCCTGCTGCCTCCTGGCACCAGCAGCTGATTTCAAACTTCACCGGCCTCTTGATGCGGCTGTTCCACAAGATCAGAAGCGAGGAGGAGAGAGGAGCCTGGGCCATTGTGTGGAGGGAAGAGTGGTGCCCAGTGGGCCAGGCTACAGCTAATCACATTGCAAGCTAGGGTGGCTGCCAGGGGCCGGGACTCAGCCTGATAGCCTCCTCTCCCCCACCTTCCACTGGGAACCAAAGAGAGAGACCGATTTTTTCTGGGTGGGGTTGGTAAGTTCTGCCGAGATTTTAATTTCACTGCATCACAACTCAGCAAGCTGCCAAGTCAAGCTGGTTATTTAAATTTATCACCCACTTTCCCTTCCGTCGCTGGGCTGCTTGAGCTCTGCGGAGGCTCTTCTCTCCAGCCCACTGCTCTGGGCTGCTGGTCTGGAACGGAGCCGAGCCTCTTCAGTGATAAGGAAAAAGGGACCAGCTAGGGGACAGAGTGGGTTGGGGGCTCTGGCCTCATGCTCCTTAGTGTCAGGTTGACTGGCTGTGACTTGTCCCTTCCGGCACCTTCTTAGCCCTCCATAGGACCTAGCAGAGGGCCACCATGGACCCTTCTGAAGTCTCCAGGACCCCTGAGTTAGGACCTTCTTTATGGCTCCCACGCTGTGCTGGTGCCTCCTTCCCTAACACCTCTCATCATTGTTGGAAAAGACAGCTGCTGTTCTCCCTGACCTCCGCCCGGCCCCCACCTGAGCCCGGCAAGGTCTGCAGATGATGTTGACTAGGAAGACGGTGAGAACTGGTTTCATGTCTGAGTCTGGTGCAAGGCCACCCTAAAGGTCCCGGGTCGGTTCCTTCCCTGGAGCCCAAAGGGAGTGAGTTGGTGCTGGAGGAAGTGGGTGAAACAGCAGTTCCTGTTCACTGGGGACACAGAGGGATCCGGCAGTCCCCTGGCTGCTTCACCAGGCGGACTTCACTGGCCTCTAGTGGGCATCACTGCCAAGCACTGGGATTGCGTGGTACAAATGTAGTTCAGGCCACCGCCTTTGAATCCCAGAGAGGGTGTGGAGGAGTGAAAGTGTTGTCCAGAAACAAGGCAGGCTCAGCTTAAAGAAGCCGAGCTGGAGACCTAGCAGGACAGTAACAAACACTACTCGCTCTCTAAGCGCCAGAGAGAACACCAGGGCACGGCAGTGTGGGAGAGACTTCGAGAGTGGCACACCTGGTGGGTGGACGTTGGGTTTGTGACACACCAGACAGGGGGCTCACCCTCCAGCCCAAGGGGAACGGGAAGCTAGAACTATATTACCCTGAATACAGATGGGGGCAGAGTGGGACGATGTTACCATTGAAAAGGAAACACACAAACTCATCCCCACGGCCCAGAGAAGCATGTGCGAAACTCAGTGTCACCCCGAAAAATAGAGACTCTCTGTCTGAGCCCCACCCCCACCAGAGTCCAAATGTGTATTCCATGAGCCTGTGTGCCTCGGAACTTCAAGTCCAGACTAAGAACCCATCCCAAGCAGAGGTGTTCTGCCATCCAGGACCCAGGGGACGCCCACGGAAGCAAACATCCTTCCCTACCAAGGAGACCACTATGATATATATATATATATATAAACCCCCCACACCAAGGAGATCACTATGATATATATATATATAGTATACAGTGAACCCTCGTTTATCATGGTTAATCGGTTCTAGACCCTACCGTGATAAATGAAATTCCGCGAAGTAGGATTCCTTATTTGTAAATCAAATATTTTCGTAGTTAGAGCATAGAGGACATGAAAAAACACCCTTTAGTCACCATTACACTCGTATTACCCAATTTATTAAACGAAAAAGGGAAAATACAGTAAAACATTTTGGATGTTACAATTATTTATTATTTATTATATTATTTATGGCATCTAGTTTATAGTATTACATATTTCACATACAGTATTATTATACATAGTTCTTACAAATACTGTAATCAATAGCCTATGAAATGACTTAAGGGATGTACTCTACAGGTGGGTCGCCGTCTTTTTCCTCTGAAGGAGCGGGTGTAGGCAGTGGGTGTTGTTACGCAAAAACCGCGATAGAGTGAACCCGCGGAAGTCGAAGCGCGAAGTGGCGAGGGTTCACTGTATATAGATATATAGTAACCCCCCTATAAAAACGAAGGGTTGTGCGCAAGAGTTATAGATACAATCGATGTGACCATTCACACCCCCTCAAGAACTAGAATAAGAGAATGATCACACAGTAACTAGGAAATAGGCGTGTTTAATACCGTAGTGAGAGAGAGAGAGGTGCTGGTTTTGTCCAGATCCCTTGTCTCCTTTCCCACC